ATATATATATATATATCTATATATCTATATATATATATATATATATATATATATATATATATATATATATATATATATATATATATATATATATATATATATATATATATATATATATATATATATATATATATATATATATATATATATATATATATATATATATATATATATATTGCACTGTAACTGATCAACAGTAAAATTACCAATTTTACTTCATTCTAAAAGAAAAAACAGCAACAATTAAAAATGGATGATTATATGGTGTCAAGACTGCAATCAAAATGTCATTATAATGGCAGTCAATGGGGCAAAAACATCCCTAAACAGAATCAAAGGGTAGACAATTTTCCCAGAGTGTATTGTTGAATTTTAGAAAAGTTTCAAAGCATTTTCCCAAAATATGTGTCAAAATAAGATTTGTCAGCAAAAATCATTCCATGTGCTGAAACTAAGGCTGCACAATACAGTGCATCCGGAAAGTATTCATAGCGCTTCAGTTGTTCCACATTTTTTTATGTTACAGCCTTATTCCTAAATGGATTAAATTCATTTATTTCCTCAACATTCTACACACAATATGCCATAATGACAATGTGAATAAAATAATTTTTTTTAATTGTTGCAAATTTATTAAAAATTAAAAAAATGAAAAATCACATGTACATCAGGATTCACAGCCTTTACTGTGAAACTCTAAATTGAGCTCAGGTACATTCTGTTTCCTCTGATCATTCTTGAGATGTTTCAGCAGCTTAATCAGAGTTCAACTATGGTAAATTGAGTTGTTTGGACATTTACATTTAGTCATTTAGCAGACGCTTTTATCCAAAGCGACTTACAAATGAGGACAAGGAAGCAATTTACACAACCAAGAGCAACAATGAATAAGTGCTATAGGCAAGATTCAGGTCTGTAAAGTCTAAGAAGGGAAGTATTAGTAGTATTAGTTTTTTTTTTTTTTTTTTTTTTTTTTTTTGATGATTTGAAAAGGCATACACCTGTCTACATAAGGTCCCAGGGTTGATGGGGCATGTCAATGCACAAACCGGGCATGAGACCAAAGGAATTTTCTGTAGAACTCCGAAACAGGATTGTCTTGAGGCACAAGGCTGGGGAAGGTTACAGAAAAATTTCTGCTGCTCTGAATGTTCCATTAAGCACAGCAGCCTCCATCATTCGTAAGTGGAAAATGTTTGGAACCACCAGGACTCTTCTTAGAGCAGGCCGGCCATCTTAGCTGAGTGATCGGGGAGAGGGGCCTTAGTCAGGGAGGTGATCAATAACCCGATGGTCACTCTGTCTGAGCTCCAGCGTTCTTCTGTGGAGAGAGGAAAACCTTACAGAAGGACAACCATCTGTGGAGCAATCCACCAATCAGGCCTGTATGGCAGAGTGGCCAGACTGAAGCCACTCCCCATCTGGAATTTGCCAAAAGGCATCTGAAAGACTCTCAGAACGTAAGAAGCTAAATTCTCTGGTCTGATGAGACTCAAATTGACCTCTTTGGAGTGAATGCCAGACTTTACGTTTGGAGAAAACCAGGCACCGCTTATCACTAGGCTAACACCATCCCTACAGTGAAGCATGTTGGTGGCAGGATCATGCTGTGGTGATCTTTTTCAGCAGCAGGAACTGGATGACTAGTCAGGATAGAGGGAAAGATGAATGCAGCAATGTACAGAGACATCCTGAATAAAAACCTGCTTTAGAGTGCTCTTGACCTCAGACTGGGGCGACGGTTCATCTTCAAGCAGGACAATGACCCAAAGCACACCGCCAAAATATCAATAGAGTGGCTTCACTACAACTCGGTGAATG